AACTCCCCTAGTGGAAGATATTACGTAACTTTTAATATTAATCACTGATCTATTCTGTATGTTCCATCTTTCTTTCTTTAACAGTTTTTATGTGAGTAAATCACTGTATCTGTCAAACCAAATATTTTCTGTTGATATCGGTCTTACCAAAATTTTCTGTTATTGTTTTTACAGAGCACCAAACCAATTATGGAAAGGAAGAGACGTGAGCGTATCAATAACAGCCTTGGAGAACTGAAAAATTTAGTTCTAGACTCTCTAAAAAAAGATGTAAGTGTTTGCAAACTTATAAACTGTTTATACTTTTCTTGAACATTTGTTTTAGGCTTAATAAGTATATAGTTTGTGTTTACGTTTCACATTTACCTCTAACATTGTGGCTAAGTTTATTATATAAAATCTCGAAAGATTGTGTTATTCTGGTAGTTTGACTAATATTCGTGTAATTACGTTAATACGAGCTATTGAAATAATTCTCCATCTGTGCGCCCACGCGAAGGGTGATCGCCGGTTATATGACGTTTAACTTTTACATGTCTTAGCTGATGTCATACTACGGTCGTGTGAGAAACCTTCCCACGCACGTGGTGCCATGTAACTGATAATAGCCAGATTTATGCGTGCATAGGTATAAGAATGCCTGGTAAAGGAATTTATTGTCGCAGTCACGTGGAGCTGGTCTTGTTATTATTAGACAGACTCGGCCTGCTCTTTTAAAAACGTTTTGAGGAATGATCCTTATACTTGTATTAGCATAATTGTTTATTTAATATTAGAATTACAATGTTAACCTCAGTATATATGTTTATATTTGTTTTTACTCTCTCTTTTTTTCTGAGTTAAATGTTAATTTAGAATTGTGTTACTCATCATTCAATTATTTTCCAGAACTCTCGTCACTCGAAGTTGGAAAAGGCAGATATTTTGGAGATGACTGTTAAACATCTACAAAACATGCAACTGAAACAACTGGAAATACGTGCTACTTCATCCTTGGCAAACTTCCGAGCTGGCTTTAACGAGTGTGCACGTGAGGTCAGTCGTTTCCTGGGTACAGTGGACGGAGTTGACCCCTCTTTGCAACATCATCTCTTGAACCACCTAACTGACCGTGTATCTGGCTTGAATGAGACTTGCTCCTCTAGTAACAGTTACAATCTATCATCTACAAACTCCACCACTTCTGCAACTATGAGCAGTAACAACAACAGTAACTTCGTAATGAGTGATATACGGCTTGTCCCAACTTGTCTTCCTACCGGAGAAATTGCATTCCTTCTCCCGGGAGACAGCTTGAACTACCAGTCACACCAGACCCTACTGCACAAATACTCTCCAACCGCTATCTCTGTCACGTCCAGTCCAGTGACTGTTTTGGGGTCATCAGGTATTTTAAGCCCTGCTGCAAGTGATCGGTCAGAGTCTAGTCCTAGTCCAGTAACCTATTCTTCCGACAAGACCAAAACGATGACACTGTTTGAACCCGTTCCTTCCTTCCACTTAGATAAACCGAAGTCTGAGAGTGTGTGGAGGCCATGGTAATATGGATTCCCGTCCAAGAAATGAAATAATAAGTGGATTAATACGTCATGTTAGTCAGTGCTATGTAAATGATACAATAAGGTGATATTCAGACTAAATTCTTGCCTTTCTCTTCAGATACGACAAATGACTGTGATAAATGTCTTTTTTGTTAAAAAGTGTACATCGAAAACCCGGTGCTACGTTATTTATTTTTCCATTAAGTTTGTATATTTTGTACAGCATCAGTCATTTCTCATAAACTTGGAACAATTAGTACCTGAAAATAAAAAAATATCACACATTTAAAATTTAGTATTGTGTTGTGTATGTATGTGTTTGTCATAGTTATATTACTTAAACGTAAAATTCCAAATGAGTCCCCACTGACTCTATACTATTTTTCTAAACTCTTTATGCAAGAAATATCTGAGGGCCTACGGCTTTGTTGGTTACAGTATCTTTAATAACATGAGTCGCAAAAAGACATTTAAACATTATATTATTGCTGCATTGAGTCCAATTAACTACTGTTTAGCTTTTTTTATGTACTTTACTCATGCAAAAAAATGGGTTTATTCACCATTGTTTTTTTGTTATTTTTTCTAGTTATTTACACTAAAACAGACAAAAACATAAAATTACTGATTCAGTATGTTTACCAGTTGGGAACGATGTAACAACAAGGCTGTAATATATTACTGATTCAGTATGTTTACCAGTTGGGAACGATGTAACAACAAGACTGTAATATATTACTGATTCAGTATGTTTACCAGTTGGGAACGATGAAACAATAAGACTGTAATATATTACTGATTCAGTATGTTTACCAGTTGGGAACGATGTAACAACAAGACTAATATATTACTGATTCAGTATGTTTACCAGTTGGGAACGATGTAACAACAAGACTGTAATATACTAATGATTCAGTATGTTTACCAGTTGGGAACGATGTAACAAACAAGACTGTAATATATTACTGATTCAGTATGTTTACCAGTTGGGAACGATGTAACAAGACTGTAATATATTACTGATTCAGTATGTTTACCAGTTGGGAACGATGTAACAATAAGACTGTAATTTGAGAATTATAAAATAAG